CCCGAACCGAGCCAGTTAATTCAGCTCAAAAACAAAGGCAAAAAAACTACAAACCAGGTCAATTGATTCAGCTCAAAAACGAAGGCAAAAAACCCCAAACCGAGCCAATTAATTTCAGCTCAAACGAAGACAGAAAACTCCAAAAGAATCAAAGCCAAATCTCCATTTAATATAGGTATATTTTCAGCCAATATTTTAATTCAGCAATTAATTCAGCTCAAAACGAAGGCAGAAAACTCCAAAAGAATCAAAGTCAAATCTCCATTTAATATAGGTATATTTTCAGCCAACATTTAATCCAACAAAAAGGTAAATCCGATCTCATTAAATGAACTAGCATAGGGTCTTTTAAACATAATTTCATGAAGCCATAACCAAGCCGCCCCCCCCACCCCAAATATAATTTTCAGCATTAAGAAATATTTCAGCATATGTTCCAACAATGGAGGGCAATAAAAGAAGCAAGATAAGCCCCAAATATAATTTTCAGCATTAAGAAATATTTCAGCATATGTTCCAACAATGGAGGGCAATAAAAGAAGCAAGATAAGCCCCAAATATAATTTTCAGCATTAAGAAATATTTCAGCATATGTTCCAACAATGGAGGGCAATAAAAGAAGCAAGATAAGCCCCAAATATAATTTTCAGCATTAAGAAATATTTCAGCATATGTTCCAACAATGGAGGGCAATAAAAGAAGCAAGATAAGCCCCAAATATAATTTTCAGCATTAAGAAATATTTCAGCATATGTTCCAACAACGGAGGGCAATAAAAGAAGCAAGATAAGCCCTCAAATATAATTTCTAGCATTAGGAAGATTCCAGCATATGTTTCAACAACGGAGAGCAACAAATTAAGCTAAGATAAGCCAACAAATATAATTTCCAGCATTAGGAAGATTCCAGCATATGCTTCAACAACAGGGGCAGCAAATAGGAACAAAAATAAGCCCAAACATGTTTTTTCAATTTATAAAACGCTTCCAGATTTCATGTCATTCGAAATAATGTAAAATAGAGGAGAGGAGAAGAATACCTCTTTAGTGTAGACTTAAAGCAAAGCACTAAAATAAGATTGAAGAAAGCACCACAGAAATTTCTCCTAAAAGCCTCACGCAAAAGCTTTCCCAGTTTTTTTAATTCTGCAAGCCGCAAATCCCTCGTACGACAGAGAGGAAGTAAAACTTCTTTCAAACAAAAAGGATCTATCCGTATGCTAACCGTGAAAGAGGAAGAAAGCAGATGCAAAATTTCTTCTAAAGAACTCTCTCAAGAACACTCTCCCTCTTTTTGTTAGCAAAAGAAAACTTCTCACCCTTACTCACACAGCCACTAACTATCCTCAGGAAGCCAAAAGGCAAAGAAAAGAAAAGGAATGTCGATCATTTGCCGCCCTAGCCTACCAATCGAGCGAGAGAAAGGAATCAACATCATAAATGAGGAGAACGCTCGGCCTCGAGGAAGAGAAGCGTCGGCCAAGTGGAAACCCTCGATTAGAGACTCGCTCGGTCAAGCGGAGATCGAAGAGGCGAGCCGCAAATGCGAATGACACAAGAAAGGAGAAGAAGCTCGGGGTCGGCGAG